AGACTGGGAATGGTATAGAGAGAAAATGGAAAATTGTTGATCTAGCCCAACCCCCTCATTTTATTCATAGAAAACAAATTTAGTAGAGGGACTTACCGTAAGCCACACAGGTAGTGTCAGTCAAAAGTCTAAAACACAAACCCAATCTCTTAATTTCCTGTTTGCTTCTCTTCATACACCACGAAAACAAAAGATTGCCATGGACAGGAATAGTTTACAGAAAGAGTCAATCTTTCTTACCTCTACTTCCCACATTTCCCCTCTTTTTCTGTCATAAATCACCTCTTATTCACTTCCTATCCTGTACATGCTAGCTTTTCTTTTTACCTAATAGGTACAGTTTCACTCATCAAGCATTGGTACTCAAAGTATTTATTAACAGTTGGACTGAATAGGATTTTAGTCCTTGAAGGATAGTCTGTCCCCATTTCCAGCAGTGAGGCTGCCATTGGGACACCAGTACAGTATTGGTTCAATTAAGTGCCTGTTGAGTTCATAGATTTCCTGGAGGACAATGACTCCATGACCAAGCAGGAGATGCTTCTGAGTGGAACTTTGCTCTGCCTCCCACTTAATGTGGGACCTTAGGTAATTTGCAGGACTTTTCTGTGCCTCAGTTTCCACATTTGTAAATAGAGATATGACCTGTGACTTTCACCTTACTCGGCTGCTGTGAGACTAGAGTGGCATAATAGACATAAAGGCTCTAAACAGGTCTTATCATTTTAGAGGTTGATAGTATATTTTGATGGCATCGGAAGCCAAGCTCTGTCCCTCACTAGTGCGTGAGTTTGGGAACCTGTGTGCTTGAGCCTCTGCAACTATCAATATCTTTGTCTGTTAAATTAGAATAATAACACCTAACTCCTGGAGTTATTTTCAGAAATAAATGAGATAATGAATGTAAAATGCTTAGCTCAGTGTTTGACACTTGAAGCACACAAATAAGGTTAGCTGTTCCTATTGTACTGTTGTTATATTTTAAAAATGTAATGTTATTTGCTGTCTGTTCAAATCTATTGGGGGTAGGTCATTTCAGCACGTTCTCATTTTAGCGTTGTTAATATCATTTCAGATTCTCTTTTGAACATCAAGCAAACTAAGAAATTCACTTTATGTCAACAAATCAAGCTGTCATTATCTGTTCATTTGTATACAATTTTTAAATTAAGCAACTTTCCATGTGCAAGGCTCCAGATAGGTACTGAGGATATAGGGATGAAAGTGACACAGTCCCTGTACTCAAGGTGCTGGCTCCAGTGGGCTCTCTAGTCATTCTCAAACACAAGTGATAGTCTGTGGCTGAGGCAAAATTAATGATATTCATTGTGGATGTGGGATAAAGTGTAAGCAGTGACAGCAGTAGTTGACCTGCAGGCTGTACAAGTGAGTGAGTGATATAACTCAAATGTTCTCAAAAGTCTTGCTCTCAAGATCCTTTCATATTCTAAAATTTATTGAGGAATCTGAGAAGCTTTTAAAAATATGGGTTATAGTTGGGAAAACTGGACAACCACAGGCAAAAGAATGAAACTAGACTCCTATCATATGCCCACCCTAAAATCAACTAAAAATGAAGAAAAGTCTTAACTTAAGACCTGAAACTGGAAAACTCCTAGAAGAAAACATTGGGGGTAAACTTCTTGGCATCTGTGTTGGCAATGAGTTTTTTAATTTGGCCCCCAAAGAAAAGGCAACAGAAGCAAAACTAAACAAGTGGGACTACATCAAACTGAAAAGCATCTGCACAGTAAAGGAAACTCTCAAGAAAATGAAAGGACGACCTAGGGAATGGAAGAAAGTGTTTGCAAATCATATGTCTGATAAGGGATTAATATAAAAAATATATGAAGAACTCATATAACTCAATAGCTAAAAAAAGCAAATAGTTAATAAAAACATACAGAGGAACTGAGTAGACTTTTTCCCAGAGAAGACATACAAATGGCCAACAGGTACAAGAAAAGGTGCTCAACATCACTTATCATCAGAGAAATGAAAATCAAAACTACAATGAGATATCACCTCACACTTCTTAAAATGTCTTTCATCAACAAAATAAGAGATAGCAAGTATTGGTGAGGATGTGGAGAAAAGGGAAACTTATACACTGTTGGTTGGAATATAAATTGGTGCAGCCACTATGGAAAACAGTATGGAGGTTTCTCAAAAATTAAAAGTAGAACTACCATATGATCTAGCAATCCCAATTCTGGATATGTATCCAAAAGAAACAAAAACAGAATATCAAAGAGATATCTGTACTCCCATGTGCATTGCACCATTATTCGCCATAGCCAAGATATGGTAATTACCTAAGTCTTCATTAATAAATAAATGGAGTGCATTGTATTATCATATATACATATAATAAAATATTATTCAACCATGAGAAAGAAGAAAATTTGAAACAACATGAATAGAACTTGAGGGTATTATGTTAAGTGAAATAAACCCGACAGAGAAAGACAAATACTACATAGAATTGCTTAGATGTGGAATCTAAATAAAAAGCCAAACTCAGAAACAGAGCATAGAAATGTGATTGCTAGGGGCTGGGGGTTTGGGGAAATAGGGAGAGATTGGTAAAAGGGTACACACTTTCAGCTATAAGATAAATAATATCTGAGGATCTAGTGTGTAACGTGGTGACTATAGTTGATAACACTGTACTGTATAATTTAAATATGCTAAAAGAGTATAACTTGAATGTTTTCACCAAACAAAAAAATGAGATAAATATGTGAGGTGATGGATGTGTTAATTAACTAGATGAAAGAAACCTTTTACAACGTATATGTGTATCAAATCATCATGAGATATACTTTAAATATCTTACAATTTTATTTGTGAATTATATGCCAATAAAAGTGAAAAATAAAGCAAAATAAAATATGGGTTATAGCTATTATTGTTAACTATTATAAGTTAAACCAGAAACATTTAAAATATTATTTTATTATTTCAAATAATATATTAATTCAATATTAATATATTACATAATATATTAATTCAATAAAATATTCAAATATTTTATTTTGTTAAAATAAGAATACACTAATTACATATTAACATCAATAATATGTTTTTGAAAAATAATCATGATTGTGGTATAGAACAAATGGTAACACTGAGTTTTGACTTGCCTTTGGAAAAGGAGACAGTAAAAAAAATGAGCTATTCTAGGGAATAGAGTCAATGGAATTATAATAGATATATACGATGTCAGAGGGGCAATAGGTTGGGGGAGGGGGATTATCACTTTGTGAGGGGTGAAATGTCTAACTAGTACATTGTTTTGTACATCTGAAACTAATAATAATAATAATAATAATAATAATAATAATAATAATAATAAAATGAGCTATTCCATAACAGTGAATGGATTCTTAGAGTAGTGGTCCACGGATGCCTCTCCATGACATGTGATTCAGCTAGATATATACCCATCCAGGCTTCTTTGTGGCTTAGGTTTTGAGGCCTTCAATCTTATCCCAATCTCACTCTGTCTCTTTTTCTTTTGTCCTTGCTAACTGCCTGTCCAAGGATGTTCCTCCACGATAAAGGTTGTATGTTGTGCAATGGGAGAGGACTGCTTGGAAACTCTGATGTTTGGGTTTTCCAGCCAGACGTTGGACAGACATTATTGGGAGCGATAAATGTAGCATCTAGACCAACAGGGCACAGCCTCCGCACCATGCAGGAAGAGGAGAGGGAATTGATGTCCTAAATCTCCTCTGTCATTAGAAGCAGCTCAACAACCAAATCCAAAGATTATATAGCCACTTTTGCTTCTTGTAGGCTAGCCTTACCTAACCCAATCTTTCTGAGTCTGGACAGGTTTCTTATAACTCTGCTCTTTCCCTTTCTCTTGACTGTAATGTTTAGCTCAATGCTGAGCACTTAGCAAAACCTAAAATATCCCAAGTTAAAGCCATTGCCTCCTTTCTGGAATCTGTTGTCTATATTTCTCAATGTCTATGTATAGTATCACCATTTCCCAGGTATCAGGGATAGAAAATGCAGTCATCTTGGATTTTTCCCCACCTCTATTTGCCAATTCTGATTTTACAGGAAGTCTGAACTCAGTGAGGTAGAAACATGCAGTGATTTTGCAGTTCCTCTAGTCACTGTTTTCAGCAGTGTTCTCTTGAATTTCCCTTCTCTATCCCATAAAACATCTTCAGCAAATCACAGAGCTTTTCGTTTCTTTCTCTAGCCCAGGTTAAGACTCCCTTTCAACGATTTAAAAGTCCAGCACATAAAAGTCCAGTCCAGGTAAAAATCAAACCTTCACTGTTGTTCCCAATTCAAACCATGTCACTCTATCCCACAGGTCAAGCTTCTCCCAGATCTATCATGACACGAACTGGGAGGCTCACCCCCAGGTCGGGGTCCCTCCCTATGGCTGCCCAGTGGAATTTTAAAATTTCAGTGACCCAGGGATGATGGCGTGTCTCCTCTTCTTCCCTGTCCATATAGAAATGTTTGTTGAGGTAACCCTGCTCTTGTGCCATCATCGTATATTGGGTGAGTAGGGGACAAATAACTTGTTTAATTTATAGATTTCTGGATCAAAATGAACAACATCCAGACCTGACAGAGGGCTTATCACAAGATCTTCAACTTTGGGCCTAGTCCCATAAATAAATAGGAATTTTGGGTTGTCGCTTTTGGGAACAGAGTAAATATATGGTGCAGAAGGGAGGGAATGATATTTTGCAACCAAGAGGGCAGATGGTGATAGGCTGTATTCTTGTTCACAATATTTGCTGCTCCCCCCTAAAGGGAACTATACCTCCCTGCCCCACTGACATCAGGCTTGCCCATGTGACTTACTTGAGTCAACAAAATGAGGGCAAAAGTGGTATGTGCTCCAAGCAAAAGCTTCAAGGGGATTTCCCTCCTGACACGAGACCCGTACTGTCTAAAACAGGTGGAGTTCCTTCAACCTGGACCCCAGGGTGAAGAGAACTCGCAGCAGAGCCCCATCTGCTGCTTTGTTGCTACAAGCCACCAAGGCATGGGTATTGTTACCACAGCACAACCCAGCCTAAGCTTGCTAGGCTGAAATTGCTGATTAAATTCTTAAATTGCTTCACATGCCTTGTATTTCCTCTCCTCCGCAGCATTTGCTTATTCAAGGCCGCTTAGTTGAAGCTGGCTGGACTTGGCTTTTAATCGTGGCTCTACCGTTTTTTATCTGGGAGACCTTGGGTAAGTTACGTGACCTCTCCTCTCATCAGTTCATCTTAAAAATGAAGCCAATGATACTAAGATACTATTATGATTAGGGAGTTTAATATCTCAGTCGGATCTGGCATAATGTAAGCACTTGATAACAGTTTTCTACCCAATTTTATTCCTCACCTGAGAAGGTAAGATTAATCACTTACTTAATTTTTTTTTATTTTTGTTGTTGCTGTAAGAATTTCCCAGTAACACTTCTAGCTTCTATTTCTTATTTGAAAGATTTAAGAAATATGATTACTATCTTAAATATATTCTAACTAGTAAGAGGCTTAACTTGTTATTTTCCTCCTCCACCTCTGAAGCTCTCTATGCTTTCTTTGCGATTTCATAATCTACTAAAGTTAGGGGCTGTTATATTCATGCCTCATCCTCATCCCCATATGCTATACTATAAGTTCTGTGGGAGCAAGAACTATATCTTACTCTTTATAGCTGACCAGAACCTAGGATACTGTCAGGTATGACAGTTAACAGAATCAATAAGTATTTACTTACCCTTTACGTAGACAAAAATGATGAAATTGCTTTAAGGCTATTTGAATATAAGGTTTTTTCTATGAACACATGCCCCCACTGGTCAATGAAAGAGAAGCTTCACATCTCACTCTTCCAGAGGCAGACCTTCTTAGAAGAGGGCTAACTAGTTCCCTTCCCAAACTGTGGCCTGTGCCTGAAATGCGGCACACAGAGCAAAAGCCCTCACTTAAAATATTTTCTCAGGGTTAGAAAATATCTCTTGGAAACTTAAAAGCTGAAGGCCCTGTCTTTTGAAAACAAAGAAGAAAAAAAGTGAAATCGTGCGTTGTCTTTGTGTTTTAGCAAAACTCAAGTTCCCAGCTGACTTTTGTTTGTTTGTTTTCTCTGGGAACCAAGTTGCTGTACTACACCCAAGCAAGTGTCATTTCACGGCAATGACTCAGAAAGCAGTGCAGATGTCATGGCTTACCTAGTCCCTAAAAAATGCCTACCATGCAGGAAATGAAATAAGGTTCCTGGACTCAGCAGAAATGGGGTGAGGATAAAGAGCTGCTTTGAATTTGTGGGCTTTCCCGGACTGCTTTGGAAACATCTCATGCAAATCCAAATAGTATCTGGGTCACAGATAGTTTAAGACCAGTAATTTCTGAATATCCTTTTAGTCTACTAGTACATGTAGAGGTAGTAGGCCTATTTGGAAAAGAAACAATTTGAATAATATAGAGAATTTGATACCTTTCTACCAAGGAGGATTTTTTTCTTCTTTTTTTATAACAGTCTACCATTCTAGGAACAATTTACATGGCCAAGTATTTTATTATGCTGAACAATAAATGAAATCCAGTCATCAAGTGCTTTTACCAGCAACTTAAACTTAAATATACATAATATGTTGTTTCTGAATGTCATATATATATATATATATTTGAAATTTAGTTCGGCTTTTAACCAAGAAATAGCTTGCTAGAAACATGAATCGCACCATTGCATTTGACAAAACACTTACTTTGTACCTTTTATTCCTTTGGAAGCCTGTCAGATACAATTTGGACACTTTCTCTTTAGTCTTGGTTATAATAAACCAAAAGTACCTAGAATTCTATGCGACACAGACTGTCAGGAAATGTTGAGTGCACCATTTTGGGGAGAAAGCAGAGACTTTTACAAGAAGACTTCCATATGCAAACAGAGAAAGATTTAAGAATATGCAAATAGAAAATCCTTAAGAATGAGGAAGGATTTAAGAAGAATAGAGAAATCAAGATGTAAAGCAAATTATTTCACACTCACTTTGACAACTTGGCTTTGTATACTATTCTGAAAATGGGACTGTTAAATTTCTGCCATGACAGAGAAGTTTTTTGGGGGAAATCCCAAAGATGGCCACAGCCTAAAAATGCACAACTTAGAGGGGAGTTTCCAATGGACTTGGCCTTTGGCCAAGCCCCGGGTCAATCATTCAAAGTGCCTCCCTCCCCCGCCCCTCCAGCATAACTAAATACTTGCCCTGGTCTAGCATCAGCATGTGTGCATAGAAAAGAAAACAAGAGTTAGTATTACAAATACTCAGGATGGAGAAATGAACTGTGAATTAGTGAGCTTGAGACACACTCAAGAACCTCCTCAACTAACATATTCTTGAAGATTACCAGCCCTGACTAAATTTGAGCCTACTGTTATTGCTTGCTCAGGTTTGGTTCTTGTGAAAATCGGCACCAACAAATGACTCCTATAGATTGTTACTGATACAATACAGTTTTGTCTCTTTTCCTAATTTGTGGGGGACGCAAAGAACCATCTGTAGGCATCATTTATATAAGCAATAGATATATAGAAAGTGAAAAAAGAAAAGCTTTCAGACTATACATCATAGCATTTTGACATTGAGTACTTTACTGACATTTCAGTTCCTACCATCGCACTCCAAATAGAGTGTAAAAATATGTTATCCAGCAACAAGAAAGAGAGAATGGAGCAAGAATGCAGTTTGGAATCTGATGGACTTGAGCATAAATACAGCTTCTGGACTTGGGCAAGTCATTGAGCCTGAGTCTCAGTTTCCTTATCTTCAAAATAAAAATGAAAACTAATACTTTTCTTTTTCAGTTTTCGTGAGATTGAATTATCTGGATTAAAGAACCAGACTACATCTCTTGAATCTGCCATATTCTTTATGGAACCTGCCTTATTCTTTATGGAATCTGCCATATACTTTTCGCATTCCTAGTGCTTGGCAAATAGTAAACATTTAGTAAGTATTTACTGAATGAATGAATGAATGAATGAATGAATGAATGACATATTGAAGCATCAGCAAACACAAGCCTGGTTCAACAAACATTACTTTCCTCTGTGTAAAGTAACAGTAAAATTACCTGCAAAATTCAGCCTGGGACATTAACAACTCCCTTTGTCTACACCAGGAATTGAATTTCGGCCTAGATGAGAATAAGGCAGAAAACATTGCCAAATGTAGGCATTATCATTTGCTTTCAAAAAGAGTGAAATGGAGGGGACTTGTAGGGGAAAATAAATCTCATCATCACACAATGTTTTCCATGGGTAAAATATCATTTGTCTTTGCTGAATTCTGCAGTTTAGACATGGGGATACAATTGAATTCTTTGGTAATTATTTATTCCTTTACACAGATGCCTAATCTTTTAGAAAATTTGTTCAAGGTAAATGTAATTCAAAACATTCTTCTAAATTAGACTGTTGGCCCCATTTTTCACATGAAAAGTCTGAGCAGATAATTAAATTGGAGTCACATATGTGTCATTCAATATTCTAGCAATTTATAAATTATGTAATTTAAATAAATGTTTAGATGATCTTTTCCATACATATTATCATTGCTCTAGTTATATTATATGTAATGAGCTTAATTTTTTCTTGCATTATAAAAGATACTATTATTATAAAAAGTCATGTAATTTTTTTTTTCTGGCTAACAGAAATACTAATCTAAAGGTAGCAGTTCCCATGTACATCAGAATTACTTTGAATATTTGTTTATAACTTATTGTAAAAATATGAGTATAAAATGTATCATATAAATGACATAAGGGAAAATGAATGCATGAATTGAATTTTACTTAAGAAGCATTTCTTTTCAAATAATCAGCACAGGAAAGGAAGAGCTAATGTCCTTTTTCTGAAGTTACTCTTTCATCCCTGAAGACACCTTGTGTTAGAAATCTCAGGGCTTGCTTTTTAGCAAGTCAAGACATCACTGGAGTAACCATAAATCTTCATACATGATGGAAATTTTGAGTTAATTGCATTACAAATTCTCGGTGTGATAACTCAGAATTGGCATTGATGAGTATGACTTTTTCAAGACAGACAGGCAAGGACTATAAGAATGAATTGTATATCCAAGATATGTACCCTTGTGCTCTGACTACAAAATTCAAATATTACTAAATTCACAGAAAGTTCCAGAATGAACCTAAACGAGGATGGAGGTAGATTCATTATGAAAGAAAAAGCAACATTTAGGACTATTAAGCCTCAAAATCAGAAGGAAAACATGAATTATTTTGAGGGGGGAGTAGAGAAGAATTAATATCATCTTCCAAATCATAGCAACTGATTTGGGCTATCTTCCATTATAAATAGTAAAATACAGAGCATATTGTGGATTCATTTCCTTTAAGGTACAGATTTATAACTTTTAAATTCAAAATCTGGAAAAATGAGCAGGAGGTGGGCACGTATTCTGATCCATGAAGGGGAGATTGGTGGCTTTGGTCAGCCTTAGAGGTTATATTTCTGTGTTAAGCTAAGATCTGTAAAACCTTCCTATCACGCTACAACACTCCATTCTGTAGATGTTGGCGTCACACTTCCACATCTTCACCTTTAGAGCATGGCATACATACACATATACATGATCATAGATAATTGTAGATCATATCAATAAAAGACCATTGATGAAGTGTGAACTTTAAGCCACAATAGATATTGAATGAGAGCTTTGCAATTAGTATTAACAGCCTGGTTTCACCAAAGGGCAACAAATAACCCAATGGCCAAGACCCAGACCCTCCATAGATCTGGAATTACTTCCACTTCTCTATTATGCCTCATATTTGGAGAAGGTAGGATCTTTCCCTTTGTACATGCTTATATGCAAGGATATTGAACTGCTGCCTTCTCCCATTGATGATTACATCAATGTGGTTTCCTATTTTTTAGGAAGAGGCTTTATCTCAATTCCTGAGACAGTCACCAGTTTCCTGTTGGGAATGGTAGTCCATCCAAATCCAGCCTGTTTTCCTAGGGCAGTGGTAACTTGTTCAGCCTCTGCCAACCACTTATTATCAGGAGCCAAGACGTGTCTTTGTTTACCATTTCCCGTTAGTCTTGCCACAAAGCCCCTGCTCAGATTTCCGCCCTAAGTGGTACCCCAAATTATATTATTGTAGTGGACGCTGCTGTGCTCTGCCCAGATCCCCTCTGTTGGGTTGATATTCCTGCTATGGAATAAATTGTGTCCTCCTAAATTCATGTTAAAACCCTAACTCCCCAATATGATATAGTATTTGGAAGTGGGGCCTTTGGGGAGTAATTAGGTTTAGAGGAGGATGAGGATGGAGACTTCATGATGGGATTAGTATTCTTAGAAGAAGCGGAAAAGACACCAGAGCTTGCTCTCTCTCTCTTGCATGTAAGGGCACAGTGAGAAGGTGGCCGTGTGCAACCCTGGAAGAAGGTCCTCACCCAGGAACGGAATTAGCTGGCACCTGAATCTTGGACTTCTCAGCTTCCAGAACTGTGAGAAATAAATTCCTGTTTGTTGAAGCCACCCAGTCTATGGTATTTTTGTTATGGCAGCCCAAGCTGACTAATAAAATATCTTCAGCTTCTGAGAAAATCAGCTGCTGAGGCTCACAGCTGTGTTCTTCACTGAGTCCTGACTTGCCCAAGGTTATAATCTTTCCGAGGGGGAGGCCAAGGCCACAATGGCTGATTGGGACCTACAAAGATTCAGTTCCTTTTCCTCATTTTGGGACAACTTTAAATCGCCATTCCACCTCCCCCTGTGATTAGCCAAAAACTTAATTGCAACCAAATTGTAGGCCGACTCCTCCCTCTGCGTAATCTTGCCTTCCTTACTTCCATGCGGGTCTATCTCCTGAGGTCACTTACCCATGACCTTCTGCACTCCATTCTCCGACTCAGAGTCTATTTCCAGGAATCCTATTTAAGCTAGCTGTGATTGCTTAATTGTGAATATCATCACTTCTTGGAGACTTTTATGTTCTGCCTCACTCATCAGAATCCTAAGCATCAAAGTTATTCCAGATTGACAGAGAATCTGTGGAGTCAGCCCTTCAGCCTAGAAACCTAGTCCTTTTGGCTTTGGCTCTGTTCATTCTCTGCTTCTTCCCCCTTTCCTCCCAGCCCACTCCTCAGCTTTTCCTGCCTAAACAGTCTGTGCAGGTTGTATTCAATACTCTGGTGAGATATGATAGGGGCAGTAGTTCTGAGAGTTTTGGTGTTCTCAGACACATTTGGATTGTAAAATATGTGGTAGCTCACTCAGGTAGATTCCTTTCCATCCATAATTATGACACTCAGTAACCCCTCTGTCATGTCACTTGGTGCATACAACTGTTGCTTGCCCTTTGAGTGCTCTTAAATATTTCCAAGGCAAGTACTCTTCACTATTTCCTTGTGTGTTCCAGAAAACATGCTACTTTCACAGAGTCCAGGTTGCTTTCATGCTACACCTTTTAACTCTATCTATAGCTTACCTAGAACTATGCACTGAAATATATGACCTACTCAGCTCCATATTGCTTCTGAAACATATGATAAGGTCAACAATATTACTGTAACAAAAATAAAAATTACCCACGGATCTAAATTTGGTAGCATACTATCAAAGGGTGCTAGAATATACTTGTTGAGAACTACTTTGGAAACTCTGAGGCTTACTAGTAATTGCTGTGTATGTATGCAGTGCACTGTATGCAGCTCTACTTAGTAACACCTCCATCCATTCCATAGCGAGCTGCCTAAACCTGAACCTGAACCCACGTTTGAAATTAGGATTGTGTCCAAACTATGGAGGCCACAATGGGTAGACCTTTATAGAATGGTACCTGAAGAGTGCTCATTCCTGTTTGGCCCTACAGGCCTAATAAGCCCTGTACCACCTCCTATGGGACATTTATATTGTCAGGACTCGTGAATCAGCTGCCTCTAGGCCATGGACTCCCTTGGTTTTCAAAGCCTACCAAGAAACACTGGCATTGCAATCACCTGGAATCCATGAAAAGTGCACATCCCTGGGTTTCACCTCAGACTTACTAAATTAAAATTGTGAGGTGTCATGCCCAGGAAAGTATCTTCTGGTAAGCTTCCCAGGTAGTTTTTAATGCACTCGGATACTTAAGAACCACAGTTATAAAATGAGCATATAGAAACTAAATGCCTGGTATCTTGATGAGGAAGTAGGGAGTCTTTTTATGATTTCCCTTCTCTTCTACCTCCAAGAACTTCTATTCTTAGTGTCTGGTTCCCTCTTTGCCTTAAGCTCCTTACCCACCTCTACCCATCTGCTCCATGCTCCAACAAAACAGCTGTCAGTCTCTTCTAATCAACCCTCTACCACCCCAGCATCAGAGAATGCTGTCATCTGGGCATCAGGGGCACATGTGATTCAACCGATTCACATGTGTATAAGTCGAGTAATAGCAGACCCTTGATTTTGCCAGGGTAATTTTGATTTTTGTGATCTCTCTCTCTCTCTCTCTCTCTCTCTCTCTCTCTCTCTCTCTCTCACACACACACACACACACACACAATGAGAAATTTCTAAAGAAAGGAACACCAAATGATACACCAGACCTTCTGCAGTATTAGCCATCAGTTAAATTCCCTCTACTATTTTTGCTTTATTTTCTTTGCTTTTACTTATTTTTCAAAAGTTCCTCTTTTTTCTACTTTTGAACCCAACATTTCTCTAAAAGCTCTATATTTTTTCACAATGACACTCTTGGAAGCAATAGTGAGGGTTCAAACAGGGAGCAGGCAGGAAGTGATGGTATTGGGGATTGGGCCTTGTCTACTAATATTATCTTTCCTTATATATTGTTCCGATTTCTCTAACTACCTTGGTGATGTGTAACCCCTCCTCCCGCAGACTGGACACTTGGTAGTGTCATATTCAGGGAAATTCCAGTTTGACTATAGGATCCAGAAGAATAATGAAGATATCTACTACAACTGAAGAGGTAAAACAAAGGTTTCACATCATATATTACAGAGAAAGCTGAAAAACCATTAGGCTTCTCTGCTTCTCCCGAAAATTTCCCTTCCCTCTGTGTAGTTCCTTTACTGCCTGGCTGTCTAAGGTTCGCCCTCTTCCACACTGCAGCCTCATATATCACCCTTGCCAAGTGGGCCAAGTCTGCCACGCCTGACTCCCTGGAAGGAGCTATCTGGTCCTTGGCTCTGACTTTTCCCTGTGAGAATCTGCATCCGTTCCTCCCCATGAAATTCTGCTGAATAGCCTCCTCACTCCTACATACAACCGGCTGACCCACTGACTCACCCATAGAGCACAATGCCACAGGAATCTGGGGGGCAAAAATAGCCATAGCCATCTCCAGACCCAGCTGCCCTAACTCTTCTCTTTGGACAAACATGAATTATAAGCTGCAAGAAGAGAGAAAGATGGGCGACAGCTAGGGAGAGAGTTCAAGTTTTACTAGCTCTTTCAGGGGAGTGAATGTGCCTTTTTACTTCTTATAAAGAATCCTCAACTCTAATTCCCTTTTCCTTACGAAACATTAGACACATAGTAAGTACCCACTTCATAAAGGCTATAGAATACTATTCTGCAAAAGAGACAAAGATGAAGAGTTTTCCAGCTAATCTCAAACTGGTTTTACATAAATTTTTTGAAGTCTTGTGAATGCTCTTAAAATTTATTCCTCATCAAATGTAATTACAGATGAGCACTTAAAAATGAAAATATAAGTTAAGTCTGGGATGATCCACCACTTTGTATTATTTATGCTACTGCTACTGTCTAGTTATGAGTTGACTGCACTAATAAAAATCTAAAATATAACCGAGATAGAAATCAAGATGCAGGGAGGGGGAAAAACATTTATTGTGTATACTTGCACATGTTAAGGCCAGTTGCTGTCTGCACACATCACTTCATTTGTCTTTAAAGTAACTCTACGAAGGACGTGTTGTTATCCTCATTTTCTAAATGAGGAAACTGAGGCTCACAATGGTAAAACAACTTGCCCAAGGCCACATGAATAAAACAGTAAAGCCAGGATTTGCACTCAGGTCTGTCAGGCTCCCAAGTCTGTAATCTTCATCCACTATAACATGCTGTCTTTTGATGCTGGATTTTATCATTTTTGGGGGGAGTTTTCTGGTGCTTACTCAAGCTATTTTGTAGATGATGAAGAGTCATGTCTGTCTAGTTGAGCTTTAAACACCAAAGAACAAAGTATATCATATTTCTACATATGAAAAGCCATTTGGAGTATTGTATAGAGGATTGTCATTTTGAAGCACGCGCACACATAGTAATTGCTGACCCAGTATGAGAATCTAACAAACATTGCCAGTCTTATTTATTATATTGTGCTAAAGCCAGAAAACCTGGAAATCTAGCTTGGAATTGGCTTTCCAGCTCCTGAGCTGAAAGGAAGCCAGGTAGAGCAAGCTGCCTTTCTCAATTGTCTTTTTTTCCAGAGGCCCCATGCTAAGGTGTCAGTCACATTTACCCCAGTATTCCAACTTGAGTGGTAGAGTGTGAGAGCATGACTCAGCCCCTCTTGTTTAATGTCTTCTATTTTATTCTACTACCTCATTCTTTACGTTTTCCTTTTGGTCCCACTTTTAGCTCAAGATTCTGGGCATATAAAAATAAAATGCAAAATGTGATAGGTGTATGCTTTAATGATTTACAGAGGTGAATTCCAGCTTCCTTTAAAGGCCAGAACTATGGATTTTGCTTTTGTTTTATTGTTTCTTATATATCTAACTGGGCTGTAAGTTACCGTTAGGACAGAATCTAGCTCTTATTCGTCTTTGTATCTCTTCTCTCTCCGCCCACATGGCTTATCCCAGTGTTTTGCACTCCAGAGGCATTCAACCAATGCGTACTGAAATACATGTGTGAATACATGTGGCTGATAGGGGCCAGAGTTCTATTTTTGTCCAATGCCAAAAACCAGCCTTAATATCTCAATGGTTTAAATTTTTTGGTGCCATCTAAATGAGTTTGAAATGTTTGGTTCAAAATTGGCAAAGGCCTCCATGTTACTGAGGATGCTGTTGGCTGCAAGTAACTGAGTAACTAACCAAAAGTGGCTTAAAGAGTAAGATTCGATGAGATGATATGACAGCATGTCTGGGGGAAAGTGTGGTACACAAACAACATCCTCAAGGGCCCAGGCTCTTTGCATCTTTTGTGTTGCTTCCTGAGTGTCTCATGGTCACCAGATGGATGCTTTACTATACATAAACGTCTTGTCTTGCCAGGACTTATTTCAAAGATAGGAAAGAAGAGGCAGAGGAGGATTTCTTCAAGCGTTTATCTCCTTTATTTTCTCAAGAGGTCCTTCAGTATACTTCCCCTTTCCTCTCATTGGCCAGAAAGAGTCACATGTTCACTCCTAGACCACTGGCATCTGGTGAACAGGATTACCCCACATTGTGATTTGCTAAGGTCAGTCATGGTTCATCCATTTGAAATTTTAAAAGGTTGTATTTGGATTCTTAGT